CCTGGAAAGGGGGGCCCCTCTATAATAAAATTTTCCCCTATTTATATAGGATGTAGTATAATAAAGATATTACATTTTTGACTCCATTTTGAGAAGGCCGGTACTGTGATATTTCTAGTATTTTACAAGCGATGTCTTATCATTCGGTTTCCTTGGGGTACTCTTCCCGCATCTCATTCAGACATCAAGTTACTAGAATCACTTCTAGTCTACATAAAATTTTTATCAAAACTTAAAGAGGACACTTATGTTAATCTCTTGACATTATAATAAGATCAACCATTTATCATAGATGTCTGACTAGAAAATAAGTTTTAGTGTCCCTCATCATACTGGAGTTCCTACTCAGCTAGAACAAGAAGCTAACGTCATTTATGTTTGGTACATGGGTTACTTTACAGACTCGTGTGAACATCACCTCTATTAGGGGACAACAGATATAAAAGCAACAACGAAAAGTTGTCAAATATCATTCTTGAGTATAATTATAACTATACGTTCAAGCAAAAGTATGGTCCACCTCAACCTACACGCCAGACTCTAGAAACACAAAGAATCTCAAGCACCTCATTAGGAGCTCAATCAATCCCGGGGAAACTTGATTTAATCTCTTCCATAAGATGATACAATCATCAAGCAAAAGCCTTGACTAATAACCTATGATAGGTCAAAATTTTTAAGTAAATTTCATTCGACTTTATCAATAATAGGTTAACGCAAGTAAGCACCTTCAACTAAAAACGTAAGATTGGTATTACATCCTTAGAGATTTTCATTCGACTTTGTCCAAAATCGGTTAACTTCATTGAACATCTTCAACTAAATAACTTAGAAAGATCTTACATCCTTGGTGGATTTCATTCAATTTTGTACATGACAGGTTAATGCCATCGAACTTCTTTATTAAATAATATAGGATGGGTAAAATAAAATTAATGAATTTAATTCAACTTTGTCTATAATATGTTATCAGTGTTAAGCATTTTTTACTAAAATAACCTAAGACATGTATTACATCCTTAATGGATTTTATTCAATTTTTTATATATAGTGGGTTAACATTATTGAGCACCTCAAACTCAATAACCTAGGATGGTCCTTGGTGGATTTCATTTTACTTTGTTCAAAACATGTTAGCACTGCCGAGCACATCGGACCAAATAACCTAGGATGAGTCAAACACTCTTAACAAATTTTCCATCAGAATCTTCCATTATAGGTTACAGTAATCGAGCAGGAGATTTGACTAATAACTTAGGATAGGTTGTGCACCCCTAACTAGGGTTTTCCTTCATCTTCGGTAATGTTACCCGAGATGTGTTAACATTGTTTGAGTACCTCGAAACATTTTTGATAACCCTCAACTCACTTTACAATTCAAGATTGAACAACAACAAAATAAATAAAGAAACATTCAAAAAGTGTAACGATATTCACTATCAGAAAATGTAAAAGTTACATCAAATAGACCAAGAGATGTACAAACAAACAAACTGTTGTAATATGTAGAACTACATCAAACAAAATAAAAGCTCTAAACACCAATTCATCATTATAAAGTGCAAATGAGAAATTGCAAACACTAATAAATCATCACAAAATTTGAAGAAAAAACTATCAACATAAACATACAGACACAAAGTACTAATTTATTGTAATATTCTCCTCCTCATCAGAGTTATGCTAATGCAAGTCACTTTTAGCTTCATCCTTTTTGAGCAATAAGGGGGGTTTTTAAATGCGTGGTTGGAAAATGTGCTCTCGGTGTCAGTTATAGTCCAATGGTATATCAAATGAACTCCTTTCTAGAAATTTCGAAGAAACTCTTTTACTGCACTAAAGGCCCTCAACTTTTTGTTCTATTCTTCAAGAGCCAATATATTTGCTTGAAAAGCTTACAAATTCTCCATTAGCTCATGTCTCTATCAATTCTTCGTGTTTAATCACAGTTCTAGACTTTGCAGAGAAAGAAAAATTACCTTAAATAACAATTCAGTCTTACATTTTGATAATTGATCTCCCAATGCCAATATTTACTTTGCACTAACATTATACAACTTCTTACACCTACGAAGAAGATATTGGTTCTTCACAAACTTCAAGTTCCATTCATTTAAGGAAAGGCTCAGTTCGAGATCTAAATGCATATTTTTCATTACATAGAGAGGATGAATATATGAAAAACATGGAAAAATCTAGTATAAAGTTAAAGAAAGTTAGATATAATTACATACTCAGCAACTCATAAAAGCCCTCTGCACGTGTGATGCAACACTTCTTTGGAAATATGAATCTTCAAAGGATTTATAAGAGGAAAATATGATACTCATGACACTTGCCCATATTCCTCATTTGCTTATTCTAACTCATTCTACATCACAAATAGGAGTACCATGTATGAACAGAGAGGCCAATCTTGTGTATAGATTCTCCCGTTACATATTTTTTGGGATAGAATACCTCACATTGAAGTTCTTCAATACTTTAAAGTATGAGAATCTTTAGTATGGCCCCTTCTACAACTCAAGGAGGAAGGGACAACCGAATGAGGAAGGGGCAACTCCTTCAATTTTTCTTTTTTCTTGTAAAGACCCTAACAAATTTTCATAAAGAAGAGTCGATTGAACCAAATTTTTGATGCATCATTTGTTTGAAATTCCAGCCATTCGCTCCTATAAGTGATACATTTTTTAATATGAGAAATAAACTTGATCGTCTTATCATTATCTCCAAAGATAATGTTGCATTACACACTCTAAAGAGGATAATAATCCCCATAATGATTATCATAACTTGATAAAAAATCTAGGAAAGCTACACTCCGTTGGTTGATAAAATGATCACTAACTCAGGAGCTGATGGAAATTGAAGTTCTGCATGTAAGGTCGTCTTATAACAGTGAAGTACCTTCTTGGTGAAGAACATTCTCGATTTGATAAATTTGGCATCCTAACCACCAGACCATTTATAAAATTAAACTTTTTTTAGAAAATTATCAACGCATTTTTGGTGAGTACTGATACCACCTCCTTAGGATTCTGGTGCTTCCTCTATTTTCTGAGGGGTTAGAGTTCCCCAAATGTTGGCATCTCAAAACATAAAAAATTTCTCTCTAAAAGGCATGATAACAAGTTATAAAGGGACTCCAAGCACAACAATAACACAGAAGAAAAGACAAAAGCATCATACCAGAAAGAAACACCAAATGCATCATCCGTGCATAAGAAAAAAGACAACAACAGACCATAAATGAGGGGCAACAGTAGACCAAGTGACACTTCGACCTGAGGAGGGGAAGTGTACTTTAACTCGTGCTAAAATTACTTATTCTCATTTAAAAATTTGAATAATTAAACATTCATAATAGATAATAAATAGCTACTTTGCATTGCTGTCATTTAAAATTTATAAAAAATAATTAAAGTTGCAGTAAGACATTAAGTTTTATAAATTAATTTTAATTTTATACTAATATAATGGTATAATATTAATAAATGAGTTTCTTGTCAATATATGAAAATAATATAAACTATCCCTCTTAAAACCCTTAAAAAAAAAAGCAACTCTATATGAAAAATAGGTTCAAATAATTGCAGAAATGGGCTGATAGGAGGTGGCCCACTTAATAGTGGGCCGGATTAGTCCATTAATTCTATCATCGATGATCTAACCTAGTTTCAGAAAGCAAACCGCTTTCCGGCCACCCAACCTCTGTGGCGGCTTCTCTTCCACTCGAGCTCAAACCCTTTGCTTTCCCTTCTCATGGCGAGAAGGCGAAGGAAGAGCTAACACTCTCCCTTCTTCAGCTCCAACCCCTTCCCATGCTCCTCCCCGCACG